TTATGTGAACGCCCGTGCACTTTCACGAGCCACTGTATCACATACACACGCTCGTTTCCACCCACTCGTCGCGTACATACGTACGCCGGCTAAAACCAAATTCAAATGCAACCATGGTAAAGGGCTTTTTTTTATACCTCGCTAACCTAGCGTGTGTAGGACGAAATAAACGGCGGAGCGTGAGCACGTGAACGGGCGAGAGAGGATCTCTGTATACGTGCGTCGATAGACTATATGTACATATGCTACTAGAGCTGTTTTGTACCGAATTGAAACTACAAAACTACCAAACCCAGGATTTTGGTGAATCTGTTCTAAGTAAGTCGGCATGAAATGACATAAATGAGATAACAAGTCGTTACATACATAAATATTTTTCAAACAAGGGAATACAAATTAAATTCTATTGACTATCTGAAAAACTATCATACCCCAATTTTGAACAACTTCCCCTAAATCCATAGAAATTTGCAATCTAATTATGTTTCATTTTAATTATTCAAGCGAGAGTTACATCAACAACAGAAAACTTTCACTCTTTCAAAAATAAATACAATGTATACGTAATGTATGTAACGAAAGAACGATATGCATAAATTGAGAGAGGGATGTAATCTAGATTTTATTTCGCACCGTGGAAATCATTGTCGGATAAAATTTATAAGCGATCGGGAAATATAAACGCGACCGGTGTCAATTACTTCAAGATTAATTGTCCGACTCGACGGATTAACGGCTATTAATATCATCAACGTTGTCCGTTCGTGTGGCCGTCGGCGACGTGAAAATAGATGGAACGACAAACATAATTTGGAACCGTATAAAATATCATTGCAATTTACTTAACACTTCAGCCGTTCCCGCATTGATTTAATACCGTTTATTCCGTTAGATTCAATTATTTCATTAACTACTTTATTTAGTATTCTTCAGATTTATTAGATTAACCATTCCATTATTACTAATGGAGCTATTATTCTTTCTATTTTACTCATACTATATTTGCTTATAGTTCCTAATATATGA